TGGCGCTTCACGGTGCTGGCTTACAATGCTTAATTTACATTTTGACAGATACACATCTTACCTCCTGTCTGGAAGAAAGGTATTTTTCTCTTTGGTTGGTGATAGACTTTAAATCATTTTTTAGTACATATACACAACTCCTTAAATATTATTTGTACATGCAGCTTGTTACGATTATGAGGATCAGTATGACAAAAGCTTTTATTAGAGACTTCACATGACAGAGCCTGTAATAGTGAGCTGTAGCTCACGAAAGCTTATGTTCAAATAAATTTTGTTAGTCTCTAAGGTGCCACAAGTCCTCCTTTTCTTTTTGTAATAGGGCAGTCTGACCAAGCGCTTGGAGCCTAGGGTAGAATCAGGGTCATGGATGGGAGTCGCACCAAATTGAAAACCAGAGTCAGAGGCCACACCAAGTGTCAGAGCCAGAGTCATGCTAAGGATTAAGCTGTAGTCAGACTCAAAAGTCACATCACAGGTCAAGGATGGAGACAGCTGCAGGGGTCAAGGAAAGAAAGAAAGAGCAGAAACAAGGTCCCTCACCAAAGGCTCTTTAGCAAAGTAAGAAGTCAGAAGATAAGAGGAAAGATCCTCTCATGGATCAGTAACAGGTTAAAAGACAGAAAAGAAAGGGTAGGAATAAATGATAACTTTTCACAATGTAGAGAGAGAAACAGTCAGGTCCCTCAGGGATCTGTACTAGGACCAGTGCTGTTCAACATATTCATAAATGTTCTGGAAAAAAGGGGTCAACAGTGAGATGGCAAAGTTTACAGACCACACAAAACTACTCAAGATAGTTAAGTCCAAAGAAGACTGTGAAGAGGATCTCACAAAACTGGGAGACTGGGCAAGAAAATGGCAGATCCAATTCAATGTTGATGAATGCAAAGCAGTGCACTTTGGAAAACATAATCCCAACTACACATACAAAATTATGGAGTCTAAATTAGCTCTTATCATTCAATAAAGAGATCTTCGAGACATTGTGGATAGTTCTCTGACACCATCCACACAATATGCAGCTGCAGTCAAAAAGCTAACTATGTTGGGAACCATTAAGAACAGGATAGATAATAAGACAATAAATATCATAATGCCACTAAATAAATCCAAAGGTACTCCTACACCTTGATTACTGCGTATAATTTGTGGTCGCCCCATCTCAGAAAAGTTATATTAGAATTGGAAAAGGTACAGAGAAGGGAAATAAAAATGATTAGAGCTATGGAACAGCTTCCATGTGACAAAAAAAAAAGACTGGGACTGTTCAGCTTGGAAAAGAGACAACTGAGCGGGATATGATAGAGGTCTATAAAATCATGAATGGTGCGGAGAAAGTGAATAAGGAAATGTTATTTACCCCTTCACATAACACAAGAATCAGGGGTCACCTGATGAAATTAATAGGCAGCAGGTTTAAAACAAACAAAAGGAAGTACTTCTTCAAACAGTCAATCTGTGGAATTCATTGCCACTGGATGTTGTGAAGGCCAAAAGTATAACTGGGTTAAAAAAAGAATCAGATAAGTGCACGGAGGATAGGTCCATCAATGGCTATTAGCCAAGATGGTCAAGAATGCAACCCCATGCTCTAGGTGTCCTTAAACCTCTGACTGCCAGATGCTGAGACTGGATAAAAGGATAGTTCATTTGATAATTGCCCTGTTCTGTTAAGTCCCTGTGACATTCCCCTAGTGTTATCTGGACTGGTGATCTGCTAGGTCACTCCAATCCCCGACTCTGGGAGCCAGCCTTACCCTGCTCTGCTGTGAAAATCCCCACTCCTGGGCTGTTCATGCACAGCCTCTAGCATGTAAGCTGCTCCTTGCATTGTACAACCGAATAACACTAGCCAATATCTCTGGTCCCAGATACAACCCTAGGAACCTCCCTCTTTCAATGTCCAGTTATGCCCGCTGGATGATGCAAGCTTATATGAGTTCATCAATTTAACAAAGAAATTGATATGTACCAGACTTGTTATCCCAAGGGGAGTCTGACACACTTCAAACCAAATGCACTGCTTCAGGTAGAACAAACAAACAAATCTGTTAACTACAAAAATAGATTTTGAGTGATTATAAGTCAAAGCACAAGTTAGATTTGGTCAAATGAAATAAAAGCAAAACACATTCTAAGCTGATTTTAAACACTTTCAGTGCCCTTACAAATTTAGAAGCTTCTCACCACAGGCTGGCTGGTTGCCCTTCAGCCAGGCTCTCCCCTTTGATCAGCACTTCAGTCACTTAGTGATGATGTCTGTAGATGGAGGTGGAAGAGAGTGGAAGAGCATGACAAATGTCTCTCCCTCTTATCATTTTGTTTTTTCCCTCTTGGCTTTGCTCCCCCCCCCCAGGGTCAGGTGAGCATTAACTCATCCTAATCCCTGACTGACCAAGGGAAGGGGGGTGACTCACTCGAGAGTCCAACAGATCCTTTTTTGCTGCCAAGGCCAGTGTCCTTTGTTCCTGTGAGGCTGGACTGGGTTTGTCCCATAAATGCCCTGATGAGGTGCGAACTGCCCCTCTGTTCCTGGAGAGTTTTGCCTGGGCTTTTTTTAAGCCATGGGGACACATTTTCAGCCTCATAACTATATACATGAAATTACAACCTATAACATCAATGCTCAGTGCATCATGAGCCTTCTGAAGACACCTGACATGACAAACTTTGCATTGGATATCACACAATCATGGGAGTGCAGGGTGTTCCCCCAAGGCACAAAGTGTCACATTCTCTCTGACGCATTTGGCATTGGCCACTGTTCCAAGACAGGGTACCGGGCTAGATGGACCATTGGTCTGACCCAGTATAGCCACTCTTCTGTTCTTACACAACAGTGAATCCTTTTCTAGTTGACACTGAAAGGTTTTTATGGTCATAGCTCCCTTCTTACAATGATGCAGGAGGGTCAGCCACTGGCTGATCCTTAGGTGTTGAGTCATAATTCTCTTACCTGAACAGGATGTCTGCCACCATATTTTCTCTTCCCTTGATAGGCACAATTTCCATGTCATATTCTTGGACAGTAATGTTCTCAGGTAGCAGTTTGGAACTGGTACCTTTGGTTTGATGCAAAGGTGCCGATTTCCCCTCTTTCATGTGGGTGCTCGACCCCGCCTCTGCCCCTGGCTCTGCCCCCACTCCACCCCTTCCATGAGGCCCTGGCCCTGCCCCACCTCTTCCCAGCCCTTCCCCGCACAAATTCCAATCCCTTCCCCAAAGTCCCCACCCCAACTCCGCCCCCTCCCTGCCAATGGTCCAACTCCTTCCCCTAATCCCCGCCCCAGCCCCACCTCTTCCCGGCCTCCTTCCCTGAGCGCGCCACGTTCCCGCTCCTCCCGCTTCCCCCGCCCCACCAAGCATGCTAACGTTGCCAAACAACGGTTTGGCGGCGGCTGGGTAGGAAATTCTGGGAGGTAGGTGGAGGAGTGGGGACGTGGCAAGCTCAGGGGGGAAGAGGAGGTGGGGCAGGGGGAGCTTGGTTGCTGGTGGGTGCAGAGCACCCACTAATTTTTCCCCCGTGGGTGTTCCAGCCCTGGAGCACCCACGGAGTCTGCACCTATGGTTTGATGTATCCCCATCAACAGAGAATGGTTTATCAGGACCCTACTTTTTTTTTTTTTTTAAATAGATGGAGCTTTAACATTTTGACTACCCATACAAATCTAATTAAATGCCTGGAAAGAAACAGACCTCCAGTATATGCATTTTCTAGTTATCAATTCTTTACCAGCAGTTTCTGGGTTAACCCTTCACATATCTCATTGTCCTCTAGTGATATGTCACTGTAGCATTTAGCCATCAAATCAATGAGAGGTGCAATCTTAGAATCCTCCTCAGCACATCACATTGACAATGGCTTGTCTATTGTGATAGGCTTTCAACACGTTTATATGCACAGCCTTTGAAGCAGCCTTGCTATGGGGTCTCTGCACATCATAAGTAACCTCATTAACCCTTTCCAAAATTTCATAAGGTCCCTCTCATGAGTTCTGCATTTTGTGCCCTTTTAACAGGGAGTAACATCAGTACCAAGTCCCCCACATCAAATGAGCATTTACATGCACTGTGGTCATACACCATGCTTTCTGTGCTGCTTGGCTTTTAGTGAGGTTCATTTTAATCATCTCCATCACAGACTTTAAATCCTTCTTAAACCTCTGAACATATTCAGCAGCTGGTCCCCGTTTAGCCTCAGTACCACCACTGCCAGGAGTCTATGATGAAATCCAAGAGACTTTTGACCTTCCTCCCACACAGGACATCAAATGGGAGTCCTTGTGGACTCTTGGGGTACTTCCCGCTAAGCTAATAACAGCCACTTGCCCTCTTGGTTGCATTTGTTCCCAGCAGAGTTTTTAGAGTCCCATAAAACCTTTCAACTGAGCCATCTGTCTCTGGGTAATATGGAGTAGATCCACATATTTACCCCACATATTCTCCATAATTCAGTAAATAACTGGGAGATGAAATCTGAGCCATAATCTGACAAGGTCTCCTTTGGAAAATCTACTCAAGCTGAAAATAGTGCCATCTTCTATATTAGACAGAGCAACTCCCTCTGGGTATCTGTGGGATACACCAAAAATGCTATGTGTAATAGTAATAAAAATGGTACTGAGTGCATTAGTCCACCAGTATTTCCAGTGCTGCAGCATCTTTCCCTGATGTTCTACTTTAAGGTGTGACAAAGTGGTAGCCTTTATATCTGAATGTTGATGTATGACAATGCTAACCTGAGATCACAAGCAAAATACCAATCCCTGTTCTTCCTAAACAGTGTTGTTAAAAGAAATGAAACTTTTCTCATCCATTTGGTCCTTTTCTAAAATGTATTGGCTGAACCTTGAGAAACAGTAATTTGCTGATAGTAAGGGAAAAAAAATAACCAGAGTCAATGCATAATTAGATACGGTAAAAGCAATTCAGTACTCAGTGAAAATGTGAAAAACAGTTGTTTACCAGTACCTAATGGGAAAAAAATATATACTCACTGGTTCCATTGATGACATCAGGTTTGGCTTTCATGATTTTGCAAAACTGTCTTCTACAGTTTTCAATCCATACTAGCTGTTTATCTGGATTTTTTAAGGATGCCAACAGCTTGTTGAGATCATTATCTAAAATAAAAATGAAACACACATTGTGTTTTTTTATAACACAAATCAGCTTTATCATAGCAACATTTTTTAAAATAAATAGTAAAAAAGCTACAAGCTACAGATAGGCCTGAGGGCTACTGCTCCTTAGCTTCACACTAGTACTGTTCAGAGAGGAACAGGAAACTCAGCTGACTCCTCCATCTCTTTGCTATCATCTTAGCCAGTGTTTGAGCAGCCCTCAAACGCTCTCATGAAAAGAAGATTGTTCAGCACTCCATAAATAACAATCATGTATATCCCAGGCTGGCTGTTTACCATCACATGGAGGAAGTAACTAATCCAACTGTGGAGATAGGAAGCAGGATTTTTTGTGCTTTATCCCAGGTCTTTATACCCACCACATCTGATGGGGACTCTGGGTCATGTGTCACCTCCAGAATTCCCACACCACCTCCTACTGAGAATGGGGAAGTGCCTTGATATTGGCATTCATAAGTGCTCTATGTGGCTACACTTTGTATATTTCTGACAAGTTATTAGTACATGACCTCTCTCTCCTTCCCAGCAGCAACAGTGCTACCACAGTTAGGTATCTGTAGTCCAGTAGGCCTGAAATGCCTACCTAAAGAACAGGAACTGAATAGATATTCTAATCTACAGCAGCACTACAAACCCCAACATTCAAAAATCAAAAGTCATTTTCCAAAGAATAATAAGGTTGGCTTAAAACTCATGAGGTTTATATTAATTATTATTATTATTATTTGGGGTTATTTTTATTTGCCTTCTGTGTTTTTCTGAGTCTTTTACATGCAGTTGGATCACATTTTCAAATCTTTTTGCACAGCCAGGAAGGCTAGAAAAGAGAGAAAGAAAATCACAGAACTGCGTGATTCTAGGACCGGGAGTTTAAAGAAAAACACCAAATATTGTCAGACTTATGCTATAATTATGAGAGTTGGCAGCACTGATATTGGTTTGTGGAACACTTAACAGTACAACAAGGTGAAGCATGTGAGGTGGCACAGGCTGCAATGCCTGTAGTTAAGATGGACTGTCATTTGCTATTATAAAACCCTGTTTTCAGCTCCTAATAACTTTGCCAAACTTTTTGGGCTGAAATTTCACCTGATGGGTATGTGCCCCATGATTAATTTGAAAAAAAAAATCAGTCATTTCTGAGAACAAGATTAGGGAAAAATATATTGTTCTTGCCCACGTTAAAAAGAATTCTTACATTCCTTTCATAGGGAAGCTCTAGCATGTCTGTGCTTTAGCACTAGGGCTTGAAATCTGTGAAACCTTAATTCTCACATTCCTAACTTCTTTGTGTTTGATTTGCAACTTAATGTAACTTTAACATAGATTTTTCCATAGAATATTGGTATATGTTAACTACAATAATAACCAGGTTCAGCTTTCATTATGAATTAATTTTGGCTTTAAAAACAAATCTGTACAATAGTTCACTGATATTTATGTAAGAATTCTTCCTAATGCTAAGAAAGGCAGTTCCAAAGACTGTTCTTTACTGTTCCTTTTGGCTTGTTATTAAAGCCAATTTCCCTCTCTCTACTATACAAAGGTGAGAGAGTCACATTAAAAATTAAAACTGACAATTTGTGTCATGACAAAATAAGATTAATTGTGCTCAATCTATGATTAGATTCTTTCAACTGTAAAATGCTGCTTCTCTTTACTTTTTACAAAAAGTTATGGTAAATTACATCAGTTTTGCCACTTTTTCTACAGTGCAATAGCACAAACTGACAGCACTTCCATATTTCACTAGTAATCAATTCTAACTTTGGCTTCAAAAACTGAAGAATTAGAGGGATAAATGTTCCCAACATGAATATTTATAGCAGAAACTCTGTAAGGGTTAGTCACCTACAGTGTAATCCCAACACTCAAAATTCTATGATTTTTTTCCTTTAAATATGGCATCCTCTGAAAACCTTCAGACCAGGAAACAAAAATTATTTCTTGGGATTTAGGCAGAGTGATAAACAGTAGAAAGCCAGTTTGACACACAACACAGTAAATCTAAGCAAAGCAGCAATTAAAAGAACAATGGATACATACACCTGAGCAAAATAAAGGGGGGGGGGTTGATTTCTTCCCATAAGTGCAATTTGTTAACAGATTGGGTTCTAAATTGAGATGCTGTAACAGCTGTTTACAGGTGGTTATACTGACTGCCATTTCAAACATAAGGTCATGTTATAGAAAAATTACCAACTACCACTGGCTGAAAGTTTACTGATGAAACAGCCTGCCTGCTTATCTAGCACCCTGCCAGCCCGCTCTGCTCATGGACTGCTACACTGCCCATCTCCCTGGCTGACTAGCTTGCAGGCTGCTGTGCTGTGCTGCTCCCAGCTTCCTTGAGCTGCCTGGGTCATGGTTTATTAGGATCCCCAGCAGCTGGCATGGTGGGATACCGAGTTCCATCGGATCCCCAGCCCTCTAGGAGACCTCCTACCTGGGTCGCCAGCTCCGCAGGCTGCCTGAATCCCTGGACAGCTGGCTCCATGGGCTTCCCAACTGCCTGGGCAACCAGCTCCCCAGGCTCCCCTGTGGGAATCAAGCTGGCAATGGTGTTTTTTGTTTCGTTTTTTTTAGTTTCTGATTTGGGAGAATTTTTTTTTTCAATCTAAAATTTTCAAAGATGTGAAATTGTGTTTTCCAGCCAGCTCTATCACCAATCTTATCAAAGTTATTAGAGGCTAGTTAAATCCCCGATCATGCCATTAAATGAGCACAGGCGCATATGTGTGTTGAGCCCTGTTGAAGACTATTTGGTTTTTTTTCAGGAGTGCACCTGAGCCTGGACACATCTTAGTAAAGGATCAGGGCCTTGATTATCCCCTTTCTAGGTTTTAAAAGTAACTCTTCAGAAATTAAGTCAAGCAATTGCAATTGACTTTTATCTTTAGGAATCAACAAGCTATCTTGTTTCTTTTAGCAAGAAAATGACCTTTTACAAATTTTCTTATTTTTTACTTCTTAATAAGATCTTAATATTCAAATTTAAAATTATCCCACAACAAACACACCTCTTGCAAGTAACCTTATTGCTTTGAACTGAGCGAGAATATTTTCTTTTTGGTTTTCACAGAATTATTACATTGTACATCATTTATTTTAAACCAGTCTCAGGATTTTAACAGTTTACTCATTATAAATTGTTTCCCTGTCACTGGGATTTATTTAACCAATTCAGAATAAATCAGAAAAGCTGATTACACTACTTAACTATTAACATTAATAATTCTTCCAAATTAATTAACAAGGAAATTCTCTTGTTATCTCCAAATAATTAAATCCTCAGTCAATGTCTTTCCTAATAATATGTGCTGACTTTAATAGTTTCTAAATATTTAATGTGAAGCAGGATTATAGGACTTGTAGTTGTTTCTTTCCCCTTTGCTGTAATATATTGCAAAGGCTAGGGTTTAAGATCATTTCAGAACAGTGCAGAAGTATCACTTTACAAGTTAATTAGTTATTTTGCTTTACAGAGTCCTCTGGTGGAACTAAAGTTGGCAACTAAGGATTAGATGTTATGTAGTTATACCCAGATGTACAGACACTCTTTTCTTAACCTGTGTATTATGTAATCTTTTAACGTTAGCTTTAATAAAAAATTTAAATCTGAGATTTTTGTTGCAGGGGAACTAAATAAAAGATCAAGGTGAAATCCTGACTCCACTGAAGTCAATGGCATAATTCCCAATGACTTCAACAGAGCTAGGATTTCATCCATTTCACCATCTCTGCTAGTTCCTCCTGGTCTCTCAATCTGATCTTTTGTCTCTTATCTCTCTTCACATAGTTACTCAGTCAGTCTCAATGGCTTTTTCAGTAATGTTTTTTCACATTTTTTGTTTTATTCCTGTCTCTCACCTACAGTCTTTACAACAATTGGGTCTTCACCGTGCTTAGGTTATGCCTCCCAGTACTCTGCCTCCACTTTATATCCACACAGTCTCTTCACCAGTCACATTCAATCATGCTGATAAAGTTTAGTGCCAAACTCATCCCTGGAACTTCATCCCCCAAAACACTTCATCTGATCCTGCAAAAGCAGCTAGCATCTGGCTTGCTCATGTCTCATATAGCTGATATGCACAAGAAGTGTCAGTGGACACAGGGCCTTGCACTGTAGCTTTTTTTTGGGTGTAACATTTTGCAATTCTATGTCACATGATCAGGGAAAAAAAAAAAGACCAGACTCTAATCAGCATTCCTGTATATAATACCCTTATTGAAGCACAGGTAGAAGTTTCTCTCAGTGCTTGGAAAGAGTCCATACGTTGGACAAGCACCTTTCTGAAGATACTATCTTGTTCTCCAGAATATCAACTTTCTTTATTTTATTTTTTTTAAAAGTAAATCTCCAACTGGAAAGAAAATCTCAAAAATATGAACAAAGTGAAGCTGATGTCGAGATGCCTACTTGAGTCTGCAGAGGGTCTGGAAAGGTGAATGGCTCTGAGAGGTGTAAATTGCCCCACTTCACCTCATTGAAGTGTTAACTTGGCCAAAGATTATAATTATATGTCAACATTGTAAACTTTCCTTTTTCATGTCATGAAGGACAGATCTGAACATTCGCTGCGAGTGATGTCTCATTTTGATGCTACAAATGGATGGTGTTTGGGGGATATCCCCCCCACCAAAAATAAAACAGTGAAGGAACGAAACCCAAGGAGGCTAGCATAGCTCAGAGGCATATTCAGGCTCCACCAATTGGGAGCCAACCTCTAGGAACCAAGAGACACACACAATCGTGTTTTAATATCTACATTACGTACTGTGAGAACGGTCTAATTTTGGCACATGGATGGAGTTTATTTTATAGATAGAATTTCAAGGATTATCACGACCTCTTTTCTTTCACCCAGGTTTTTCTTAACAGTTTGTAGTTAAATAGAGAAGGTCATTTCTTCCAACTTAGAATGTAAAATATATTTCAGTTGATTCTGAATAAACCAATGTATCTTGATTTAACT